CGCCCCAAGATTCAAAAACAAAAACCCACCCGTTCAAAGCTTTATTATAAATGGACCAGAAAATTATTCCTTATAAAAGCCCTATGCCTCTTTTGTAAAAAGGGTTGCCAAAAAAGGATTAACCTTACTCCACAAAAAATGAAGAAGAAAAAATGATGTAGACTCTCTCTCCAACCAACCCGCAACAAGGCAAAAAGAAAAGAAAAAGTAATTTTTCTTTTTAAGAAGATCCATTTTTTTTGTAAATTTTACGAAGATCCATCTTTTATTTCTACCTTTTTCTATATTTTGTTAACCACAACCACAACCACAACCCCTTCCCCCCTTATCAGGACCCCTAGACATGGTGACTGACCCGAGATAAAAAAAAGAAGAAGAAGAAGAAGAAAAGGAAGGAGAAAAAGAGAAGTTTGAGTGATTTTTATTTTCTTTTGTCGTGATTACAAAACACAAAAATGGTCTTTTATAGGCTTTATGCGAATAAATCAAGTGGCCTCTATGGCTGGTAATCTACGGCTGTTTCGTGTCCCAGCGGCGGCCGTGGGATTTATTGATTAGCATGGAATCTGCAAGGTCTGGTGGCGTGGGTTAGGGTTTGTCAACCCTAACTTTAGTTGACTTGAAATTATTACAACTTTGCCCCTCAGCAGGCAAAATTTCATTTTTACTCTTCTCTTTATATTATACTATTAGGGTTACCTGACAATACCATCCACTTGAGCATCGACCTTGTCCTCAAGGTTGATTTGAAATTTTTTTTTTTTTCGAGTATCCCTTCCATAACAACCTCCTCTAAGGTCGTTACCGTTTTACTTACACAATGGTATATTTGGAAATATCAGTCTCCACACTTGTAGCAAGTAGTCATTGCTCTTCTAGGTTTCGTATCCCTTCCCGCAGCTCAGGGTGGTTGTCATAATTTCTCGGTTCAAATCCTTCCGAAAATTTGGCAGCTTTGCTACTGAAATATAAACTTTGGCACATTTCTATCACAAATTGTTTCTGAAGCAAAGCTTGCTCAAGGACTTGATTAAGTGCGCGCAACTTAAGTACCCTTATCATGGGTTGTAGTTCTAGTTTGAGGCCACTAATGAAACTAAATATAAAAAATTTCTTCGAGAACATGGAGTTACCTGCATCCATGAGAGAGCATCTGTGTTCAAATTGATCTTGATAGTGGAGAACAATGCTCGTTTGAGATAATTTATTGAACTCTATGAAATCTTTTCGTGATGATCCCCTGAACCTATGGTAGAATTCTTCCACAAAATACTCTCAATTCATGGTATCGAATTTAGCTAGCCACCCGCAATACCATACATCAACAACTTCTCCCAAATATAGAGATGCAATTCTTTTATTCGTCAGAGATATTGTGGATCATAAAATATTTTTTACACTTAACCCACTCACGGGAGTTTACACCTTCAAAAAGAGGGATTTTCACCTTAGGGAGCGAGAAAGGCAGGTTGAACTGATCTACTCTACAACCCATAGGGTTTGCATATTTATAATGTTCTTAAACTAATTCTAAAAGAAAAATGATAAAAAAAGGAGTCTAATGCTAAACTAATTAATGCAATGCTTAATTAGATAGGTAAATAAATCATAATTAATCT